AGCTGCACTTCATATTAGTGACAAACTTTGTTTTGAACTTTTAAAATATTGCATGGTAAAAACAGAAGCTGCACTTCATATTAGTGACAAACTTTGTTTTGAACTTTTAAAATATTGCATGGTAAAAACAGAAGCTGCACTTCATATTAGTGACAAACTTTGTTTTGAACTTTTAAAATATTGCATGGTAAAAACAGAAGCTGCACTTCATATTAGTGACAAACTTTGTTTTGAACTTTTAAAATATTGCATGGTAAAAACAGAAGCTGCACTTTGTATTAGTGACAAACTTTGTTGTTTTTTGACGAGTTACTTTCATTTTTGCCTTCTACTTTTCATTTAAAATACGTTTCCATTCTCAGAAGGTTTCTAAGCTTCTTCTTCTACATATTAAAAAAAGTTGTTAAACATCTGAGTGGCGCACTACTGCTACTAGCGGTAAGAAAGTGTATTGCACCTTATTCAAAATCAATGCGGTCCCGCGGCCCTCTGAGGCCCTCTGAGGCCCTCTGCGGCCCTCTGCGGCCCAAAGTTAAAAACTGTTATTCTTTTGAGGCGCTCAAGGTGGCGCTCGTGSCCCATGGGTTAAGAATCTCTGATATAGTGCTACTCCTGAGTGTGGCCAATATGATAAACATGCATGATAGCTGCATATCTAGATTTACATGGCTGGTCTACCAATAAAAATAAAACTATATTCCTAAAAGAGTTTTCCATGTATATTCGATTTTAAAGAAAATGTTTTTAAAGTAAATATTTATTGACGAATTGATAAATCGACAATCAAGTGTAATTATTATTTTTACCAAATCGTGCTGAAGCGATGTTTATATTGTTATTATTGGAAGCAGGAGTTTGCTTCATGATGACTGGCAAGGCAGAGGGCAGATTTAGCCCCTGAAGCTTAAGTTTAATCAGCTTCATGGCGATTGAAAACTCCAGTCGGTCCATCTTGCCGTCATAGTCCATATCTGCTAAGTTCCTACAGGAGAGAAAAGAAGAAAACTGGTTCATACACTGCTGTATAGGCAGCATTCCTACTTCTTTTTTTCCCTCATTATCAAGACAATAGAAAGGGCAAAACACACAAGGGACAAGGCTCTGGTGGGATTGAATTCCAGCGACATTTTTTCACACAAAACAACACACACACACACTGTTCCAATTACAGTATACACACACACACTTTCTGCCCCTTCTTACACACAGTTTATTAGGTGTGGCAGGCTGTGAAGGAAATGAGCGTTCCACAGGAAACTGAAAACAGGCTGATGTACAAAACTGATTGACCAAACACAAAGCTTTGGACCTACTGACCCATTTGTTACTTCACAATACATTTTGAAGATGAAGAGATCTTTTTTTTTATTAGTTACCAAATCTCAGCCAAGATCGAAGGCGGCAAGCCAGACTGGAGGAAGAATTTCCTTGCTTGTTCTCCTGTGGATAAACAACCATCAGAAAGATTCAGAGAGATGGGAATTTGATATTATGCCAATTAGCCATTACATTATGAGCTAACTGATGAAAATCAAAGAACATCTGGGGGTATACTGTGGTGTCTGTTACTGGTACATTTTAAATAAATTCCTTAGACTCTACAAATTGTTTATTGTTTATCGTGACAGGCCTAATCTTGTTTCCCACCAATCCCATAAGATAACTCTACCAGACTCTTTATTCTCTTTAGGCACGATCAAAGCAGTTTAACCAGTGATGCCATGTAGGTGAGACTAACCCTTTAAAAAAGGTGTTTAGGTGGTTAGCAAGTGTCAAACTAACTTATAAATACCAATAATTTGAGTTTTCTCAGTACAATGTAACCAAATGTATTGTGTTACAGACTTCGCCTGCCGTAAGTCAAAGGCTTATTAGTGTTTTTATTGTTTTTGTTTATTTGTTGTGACGGCAGTCTACCTGAGACGTAGCCAAGGACCGGGGCGAGGTTGTCAAACTGTTTGTCATGTTTCCCTCTTTCCTCTGGCGTAATGGCCCAAACACTGGCACCACCTAAATAACAAACCAATAAATAATAGGAACTGAAATCCAGAATTAGTACCTGTCAAGGTAATACAATGCAATAYGAGTGTGAAAGAAATGTAACAGTCAGTGCCACCTCCAGTATTGAATGTGGCAGTCTACTTATATTTCATTTTTAAGTTATAAAGAAAAACAAGCTTATGTCTTAATAACTGGAGGTAATAGGATTAAAGCTGAAGATGCATGAAACAGTTTTATGGCTGCTGAAAAATGTGAAGTAAATGTTTATTTAATACTGTTAAACACTGTTCAAAACCAACGTCTTACTGACTTCAGCAGTCGTCATGTTAAGATTGATGGTTTTTTTTAGGCTGTGTCCAAATCGGCAGGCTGGGTCCTCCTAAGGCCGAATTCGTCGGCCGCATATGTTATAGCGCCGCGACGAAGGACGTCCCAAACCGAAGACTCCTCCGATGCG